AAAAAAAAAAAATTTTTTTTTTTTAACGGGGCGGGGCGGGGACCCCGTTACCCGTCCCCGCCCCGTCCCCGCCTCGGGGAATAATTCCCCGCCCCGTTACCCGTTTAAGCGGATTTTCCTTTCCCCATTCGGGACGGGTCCCCGACGGTATCAGGTTTGTCGGGTTTTTTTGCCATCCCTACTTTTGCATGGCTACTATAATCTGTCAACTCGAATCAAAACAAAAATAATCAGTGCCAAATTATGAAAATATCCGTCATATATTAGAATTTTTTTACCATAAATGAATAATCATTGTTATATATACAATTGGACCAAGGCCCACTTACTGTCTACCTCCAATGGACTTAACCCATCATGTCTACGAAAACACCAGCATGACTTGTTGAACTGCACGTGGCCCAATCCTGTAGAAGATTACGTGCACGTTTGGCCGAGATTAAAATTTAATGGGAAAAATTTACAACTCAAGCTTTATCTATTTCAAAATAAAAAATCAGGTTCCAATGTTTAGAATTGCAAAAATCGGGTTTTACATAAATTAATTAATTATATCTCACAATTATTATATTAAATTAAATATTAAACTGTAATATAATATAATTAATACATCCCACTGCCACCTTTGCTCCGACGACTACTCCGGTGACTGGCGACAACTTCGGCGACTTTTTTGAAGTCACAGATAAAAAATTTTGTAGGTCACGGATTATTTCGAGGTCACAGATAAACATTTTTGTAGGTCATGTATTATTTCCAGGTCACAGATAAAAAATTTTGTAGGTCACAGATTATTTCGAGGTCACGGATCTAAAATTTTATAAATCACATATTATTTCGAGGTCACGGATTATTTTTTTAGTTACAAATTATCAATTTTAAGTTAGGTCACAGATACCAAAAAGAACAAAAAACATGAAAGAATATATAAAAAAGCAGGCAGTGAAGTCACAGAACAGCGGGACTCAAAAACTAAATGTGCTAGATGGTGCTTATCATCACATATATAGAAATCCTAGGCAGATTTAGCCTGAGATAAAAATGCTCTTCCTAGTGGCCCGTGACATCCCAAAAGCTTAGCATTTACACCATCAGACATGATACGATTCTCAAATTTCAACTTCAGGTAATCAGTGCGGCTGTGTTTAGAGAACCCCCATTTCCTGCTCAGCAATGCTTCCTGGGCGTTGTGGCTGTTGTTATCTTTGCAGCGAACGGAGAGAAGAACCTAACCAATAGCAACACGAGGGGAGGGCGAGGGCGAGGGAGAGGGAGGGTGAAGCGGAAAGGGGGGGACACTGCTGCCGTTCAGCAGTGTCATGCAGCAGAGGGAGTGAGGGAGGGAGGGGAGAGGAGAATGGAGGGGAGGCGGCGACGGTGGGGGGCAACTGCAATTCGCAGCAGAGGGAGTGAGGGAGGGGGAAGGGAAGGGAGGAGGAGGAGAAGGAGAAGAAGGCGGCGAGCGTCGACGGCGGTGGTGGAGAGAGGTGGCGGTGGAGGCGGCAGACATGGTGGGAGGAGAGAAATGAATTGGATAGGTTAGGATTTAGATACATTTAGGTTTTATATTTGGTGGGGGTGATGAGTATATATGTTATTTTAATTTTATAATAACACTATTAATTAAATATTATAAAACCTGATTTTTGATTAAATAAAGTTAAAACCTAATTTACATAAACTTGAAACTAAACAGGTCGTTTTTGGTAATTACCTCAGAGAAAAAAGAGGATAAAAAAGTTGATTGTACTGTAAAGTACCGTGTAATATTACGTAATCCCTTATACAAAATCTTTATGTACATGTAGTAAGATCGTGCTCATATTCATATGGCCCACAATGTCAATTCAAATTGGGAAAAATTCACAATTTCAAAATTAAGAAAATTATTTTAAAATTTCAAAAATCGGGTCTTAATTCAGATTTATTGGTTGAATAATTAATTAAAAATATTTTATTAATTAATTATATTAATATCATAATATTATATAATTTATAGTCACGTTTATAAATTTTATAAATCATAATTTATTTCTCTGTCACGATTATCAAATTAATTGATTACGTATTATTTCTCGATCACAAATTACAATATTTATAGGTCACAATTTCTTTTATCATTTACAAATTATCGAATTAACAAGTCAAGTATTATTTCTCAATCACAATTCACAAATTTCACAAGTCACGACTTATTTTATAATCACAAATTATCAAATTAATTGGTCACGTATTATTTGATGGTCACAGATCATAAATTTTACGGGTCCCAACTTATTTTATCACAAATTATCAAATTAATTGGTCACAATCACCCAAATAATTGATAACGAATTATTTATTGATCACAATCAATCAAATAATTGAACGCAGACACTATTTATCCCATCTCATTGCAACCTAACCCAACCCAACCCAACCCTATGCCACGTTAGCACCATCGCCACTTGCATCTCCATCATTGGTGATTGTCACCACGACCACCACCAACAATCATCACCGCCATTTTGTAAACTTTAATGCAACAATAAATTTCAAACTTACCTCTCTATCACCACCATATTTGCCATCATCTCATATCTAAACAACTATCAACCCCAAAGCACCCAAAACTAGTTCAGATTGTTGGGACATCAAAAATTTCAAAAAGATGACGAAGCAGGTCCATGAAAAGAAAGGGATTGCATTGGAGGTATCAGATTCTGAAGACTCGTATAATAGCACCAATAGGTGCCACAGCCACGGTCGGCGAAAGGGTCTCCCCACCACCAAGGTCCCTAACTTTACTCCGTCAATGCTACCTCCAACTGCTGTGAAATATCGAACTGTAAAGCGAAGAAACAGAATTCCCCATAGAGCCCCTATCGAACTGCAGCAACAACAGAGGTGATGTCGTTGCGCGGCGCTCACATCAAGTGGGGGCCCTTGCAGCAATGATGATGCCATTGCACAGTGACGCTCAGAGGTAGTCTGCGACAACGGCGCTCTCCAGCGACGACAACGATTTGAGGGAGAGGATAGAGAAAAATAAGACAGGAAAAGAGAAGAGAGGAGATAATGGAGAGGGAGAAGAGAGAAAATAATTTGGGATTTGAACGGAGTAAATATGATAGGATGTGTGTATATAAATTAAATAAACACCAAACATCATTTTTGGAATTGGAAAAGTGGAAATAAAGAATAATTTTGGGTTTGCATATAATATTATTTAATCGAACAATATGTGTTTAAAAAGAAGATAAGAGAAAAATATATTTTGAAAATAATGGTAATCATGCAATCTCTTATTATGGAAAGAATGCACAACTCCAAAGGGTTCAACATTTGCTTTCAAAATAAGAAACTTTGAAACAATATCAGAAGGTTGCAAATGGTTTGGGCTTGAGTCCAATTAAGTCCATATCTTTGTAATTGGTATGACCCACCATGTCAATTCAACTTTGTTGAATTTTATAAATTTTATTTGGGAATAATACATAATTACAAAGTTTTCAAAACACACTTTCAAAAATTAAAAACTTGTGAAAAAATTTCAAAAATTAGGCGTGACCACCTAATAACATGTTATTGTCAAAAGTTATCAACACACAATTATGGTCACAGTCACTAATCACATAAGGTTACAGTCACAAAAACACAAATTGTGAGTTGCAATTAAAAACTTAGTCATAATCACACCTTTTTTAGGCCACGTGTCATTAATTGATCACAAATTATCTATTTTATCGATCACATATTATTTATTGATCACAAATTAACCATTTTATTGATTTTTATCTTCCAAATAATTAGCCACAAAACGATTTTCATCCCACTTCACCCACTACACAACTACCGACACCAACAGAACATCCCGCCACCTCACCACCACCACCATTTGCAAACTACAAACAATTACCATTATTTGCAAACCATCACCAACCACGAACAAAAACCACCTTAAAACTCCTAGCTAAGTAGATTGATTAGACGTTGATCGGAGGAGAAGTAGCACGACTTCGCATCGAAGCAAGGTCACTGCACAGCAGTGATGATTGCTGCTGCACGCCATGGTGCTCTTGTGCAATGGTGAGTTACGTGACCAGAGAATGAGAAAGGTGAAAAGTTCCGTAACCTTTTGTTTTGATAAAAAATAATTCAGGGGTTCAGGAGTGGGGTAGGTGGGAAAGAGAGGATATAGATTTTGAAAAGAAAAGTCATAATGTAAGGCTAGGTGTAATTTCTAAGTAAACAAGGTTCAATTTACAATAAATAATTTAAGCCAATAAACCAACTCGAAAGCTTACATGCTAGAAAATAATTAACATTGAAATTCGGCTTCTTTTTAGCTCTCTTAGGCAGGATGATTGTCCATATTGTACGAGAAAAGCCAACAAAATACTAATGGTTACTGAGTCTCAATAAAATATTCTGTACGTGAATCAAAAAAATTTCCTTACTTTTTAATCATATATTTTCCTAAAAATCGCTATTCAAAACTCATTTTTTTCCCCTGAAACAATGGTTGTCAAACAGGGGCTAGAATTGAGTAGTCGTGCATTTGTGCAATTGAATCTTACAGCTTCAATATGCTTACAAATTACTTATCTTATGATTTTTTGTAATTAAATCACTCGACTTCAATTTATTGTCAGATCGTAGCCATTCCATGAATCCTTGTCTTTTTTAATTTGATGTAATTAGATCGCTCAACTTTGATCTACTCTCAAGTCCAGTAATTCCATGAATCGGATTACTTGCAAATTTAACTAATGTAATATGTTTATATGAACAGTAAATGTAATGTATGTCCATACCACATTACAAAGTTGACATGTACATTAAATTTAATGTTTGACTAAAAACATGTTTTTAAATGTTATCTAATTATTATTTTCAACGTCAGTATATTCATTAGTTAAACTTACTTTAATTGACAAATTGATCAAATTTGCAAGTAATTAACCAGTTGGGTTAGGTTGGGGCATTTGTTGGTTTTAACCTGATAATTAAACTAAAACAATGTTTGTGCTCCATTTTTGTCGTAATATTTTTTCCTCTTTCTTATTTTCAACTACATATTTTTTAATAAAATAATATTACACATAAATAAAAAAATTCTTATTTTTTAACCATAAAATCTCTAAAAGATCACTATTTCAAAATACATTTTTTTCTTAAATCATATCTTTAATGGAGCCCAAATTCTTATTTTTTTTAATGTTTTACTACTTAGATTATTTATTTCATTATTTAATATTTTAGCTTTTGTCATCTAAAAAATTATATCAATCAAAAATTAAGGAAAAAAGAATAAATTGTTTGAGAAAACAAATAAAAAGAACAAATTAAAGAGTTTGTTAGAATGTACAAAAAGTTTTTCTCTTTAAATTTAAAGATATTATCTATTATAACCAAGATGCTCTTACGTCGATATTGTGACAGTCCTTACACACTAGATAACTAGCATAATGACGAATGCTAATTCAAGAATATGAGCAAATAAGTTAGTTATTAAACCTAGAATATTGTTATTATAAAGATAATATTCCGAAATTACTTGCTTGTTTGATTATTATGAATATCTCTTTTTCTTATGTGTAATTAGAAAATTTGTATCATCTTAAAAAAAATAACTTATTTTGAAGTAAAAGAAGAAGTGGGTTTCAAAATAAATAATTCATTCTCTCCATTAAGTATTAAGAAATATAAAATAATTTGAATACCCGCTAATTAAAAAAAGATAGATGATTTCAAGAGTTATCTCCCTCGCACCACGAGCCTTCCTTAAAGAGTAATGCTATTTATTATCATGATGATGAAATATCGATGATATAACAATCCATTATTCTTCACATCTTCTCTCCTATCCCTTTTTCTCATAAAAATTGAACCCTCTAGTCCCATTATTCTACATAAACGTCACATTATTGATGTTCCACCATCATAATGAAAAATCACATTATTCTTTCTTAAAAGGATGGTGAAATATGTACTTTTTTTTCTTATGCTTTCTTCTTCTTCTTTATTTTTTTTTTCTCCCAAAGATTTGTTCATACTATATGTTTGTGGGTTACTGAATTTTTGTAGCAATCGAGAGATTGAAGGAGGGATTGCAGTGGAAGGGAAAAGATGTGGAGCCATTGATGGGGCTATTCATTTCATCGAAGAGTCATTACGAGGAAGATGGAGGGGTACACAGGTCAAATGAGATAGTCTGTCATTTCAATTTTTGTTATCAATAAAATATTAGAGCTAGCTCAAACAATTATGAGATAGCTGCCTTGGGAATTTTCAAATGAATGGTTGAATGAACTTGATGGGGTGTATTCAATTGAAAATTTTAATGATTTAAAAAAATTAGGGATATTCAATGTTATCTTTTTTGAGTTTTTCTAAAAGTATTGATATAAAAACCTGTAAGACATATTCAATTTTGAACTTTTTAAAAGTTTTTGTGAGTCTCGAGGTATTCAAATTTTTATAACTTTTAGAGGTACTAACTTTTGAGCAGAAAGTACTAAAACAAAATCTAAAAACTTGTTTCTCATTAATCACAAGATTTTGGGAGAGTTTCAAGAAAAAAAAAAAAAGAAATTAATATTTTATTTCAATATTTCTCTTTCATTTTCGGGTTAAATCCACAAATGACCACCTAACTTTATATTTGATGTCATCATGACCACTCAATTTAATTTTGGTTCACCATGGCTACACAGTTTTATATTTAGTGTTACTATGACTACCTAATTTGATTTTATTTCACCATGACAATCCAATTTCATATAACTTTTCACAATGGCCATCCATTTTCTTTTCATCATATTCATTAATTTTAAAATGGGTAGAACGGTAACTTTGCATAATACGTATAAAATAAATTTTAAAAAATTAAAATAAAAACTTATTTTAAAAAAACGTTACTTAAAAAAATAAAAGAAAAGAAAAACTTATTAAAAAAATTTACTTAGAAAAATAAAACAAAATAAAAAGTTATTTTAAAAAAGACATTCCTTAGAAAAAAATATTTAAAAAAATTAAAATAAAATAAAAAATTATTTTAAAATAAACGATTTTAAAATTAAAAAAAACTTTTATTTTTGTTTTTTTTTTAAATTATTTCATATATATAATACAAAGTTACCGTTTTATCCCTTTTAAAATTAATGAAAATAGTGAAAAGAAATTGAGTGACCGTAGTGAAATGTTATATAAATTGGGTGGCTATGGTGACACTAAACATAAAGTTGAATGGTCATGGTGAAACAAAATAAAATTGGTTGGCCATTGTGACACTAAGTATGAAGTTGGGTGACCTTTAGTGAATTTTATCCTTCATTTTCTCTTCTACGAACATTAGAGTTATAATTAAAATTTATTTTTTCTATTGATTATATTTATTTCTATTTTCTATGGAAAAAATTTAAATTGGATTCTAATAACTTTTTTTTTTCTTTTTTTCATTCATTTTTGGTGAAAAATACCTATATTTTTATTAAACTATAAAATTTTATATAAATTAATTTATAATTAAATATATATAAATATATATTTTATTTATTCTTTAAAGATAGATTATATTAACGATGATGAATATTAAATTTATATATGCATGTACACGCAATTTTGATTATTATTTATTTAATTAAGGTTTTAAATTTTTATTTTTTAAAAAATATTTTTTGATTACAAAGGGAGAGAAATGGAATTGTGGGAACCACCATTTCGAATGTGAGAACTTCATACTATTGCACTAAATCCACTTGAATTCTATTTTAAATGAAAGTTTTCAAAAGTTTTTTTTTTTTTTTTAAAATTCTGCAAAAGCCTAGAAACGTTTTAAATTGAAAGTTTATAGAAGTCTATAAAAGACTTCCACTAATTCCATATAAATCTATAAAAAATTCACGAAATCCACATAAATCATCACTTAAAAAAATCCATCAGAGTCTTCAAAAGTCCGAATTGAACATACCCCCTACAAGTCCGATAGGAGCAAAGCATAGCCCTGTCAACCTTATGAAAGAAGTCGAACCCTCAGCCTTTGCTCTATCTGGATTAAGCTCATGTATCTTACTTAATGTAGCCCGTTATAACATTGCTAATGCACAGTATTAGACCAACATAATAGTATTGTAAACGCTAGTGAATATAGTTGACTACGTAATATCGTAAATATAAAAAAAATTATTTATGTTAGCATTAGTTACAACAAACTTAAGTATACGTTATCAATGTTTTGAGGCAGCCCCATGAATCAAAACTTACTTTTGTTAGATATTTTTTCATCATTTTGCATGTTCATCTTTTATTTTGCGAATGTTTTGCAGCCTCAACTAGTGTTTGCCGCTACGCAACGGGGATCGACCTGCCTGGTCAGGTCGCGGGGGTCGAGGGGGGCTCGGGGGTAA